ATATATATATATATATATATATATCAGGATAGATATACAGCTATTTTCTCTTAGTTTAATGAGAAGAAAGGTTTGTACTAATATTGCTTGGACAAGTATACTATGTCTACATCTTGTTCTCTGAATAACTACTAGAAAGACAACAATATGTAATGTATTAGTTATTGTTACTATCCTACTAACCTGTTTTGAAACTGTCTTATTGCTATTTTATCTTTTTTTTTCATTAAAATGAATAAAATTTCAAAAAAATTGTCCTTCAAAACAATTCTATTTACTTATCTCCCAAAGCCTTCCTGACTGGCCTCAAATGTCTGCCTCTTCTTCTTAGGACTGAAAATATTACCTTCGAAGAATGATATGGTGGCAGACATCAAAAGAAGGTGAAAGGAAATGGCAGAAAAGTAAGAAACCTGAGTTGTTAGTTAAATTCATAAAATAAGTTTATAAGGAGCTATGGAGTTTTCTCTTTATAAAACTTGCAACTCAATGTTATCTCTGAGGATAATTTTGGTTTTCTGATATTATGGTGAACAATGTTCTGAATGTGGAGAACATGTATACAGACTTCCTGGCTGTGGAATATGGATCTCTGCCCTGTTCAACAACCTGAAATCATCATATGTATGCAATGAGCAATCTCCAAAGTCAGGAACACTTGGAAGCATCCCCATATTCATCATTAGAACTGAGATCATTAAAACTACATGAGAGATTAGCTAAATTCAGAATCTATGGAAAAGAAAATGTATACTCCAACAAAGAGTACCTTAAAAACATAAACACTTATTTCAATTTGCTGATCATCTACTTTTTGAAATAAGCTTACATTCAGTAGCACCCTTTAGTACAACTTTAGAAGAAATGATCAGGTAATAACTAAATCAACAGTCTAAGCTATAACATAAAATAGGGTAGGTAAATAAGTTTTCTATCATCCTACGTAGCTATTAAGTTTATATTTTGTTGCTAAAACAACTTTTCTAATTAATTATTTCTCGACTTTATGAAACTTATTGCTTTATGTAATTATTTTATAATAAGAAACATTCTATTCAAGCACAACTTATCGGAATTTATGGGATACGATGAAAGCAGTTCTCAGAGGGAAATTCATAGCTGTGAACTCACACATTAGGAAAACAGA